AATATCACACAGCAGCCTCCCTTCGACGAGATTAGCACACCTGGCCAACGACCTGTCGAGCTCCAGCAACACCCTCCAACAAATTCAGGCGGCACACAAAAGATCACACAGCAACCCGCCTCCAACCAGATCAAGACCGGGAACGGAGTCCGCGTCCAACAGACATCTCGTGGACGTCACTTAGTCTACACGGGACGACCTACCATGAACGACCCAGTGAGACTGTATGTCTTCATCTCCGGGGAAATCGACAGTTTTCATATCTGTAATTCGTACTATCTGACTTCTGATTTCCGCATAATACCTACTGGGCACGTGTTTTCGCCCCTATTCAAGGTACAGGAACTTGGCTGGGTCTCGGATCCAAATGCGTTCGAACTCATCTGTGTGAATCAGCCCGTCCAACCGGTTCCCCAGCATCAGCCGGATCAGGAAGCAACGTTCAATGGGTGGGTATCGGCACTGCTCCTCGAACTAGATCAGAATCATCCACAGTTGTGGACCCGCAATCATGGCAATGTGTTGTAGGTTCTAGGTTTAGAGAGTAGGCATGAAGTGGATGGGAAGAGGACGGCAAAGTAGTGTATCATAATTTTCTAGACACAGTCAATCAAATTCTAGAAACGATAGTGTATATGAGTGATTTGATTGTGACTTGCCGACAGCATCGTTCAATGATACTTAAACAGAACGTCATCTGTAACAGAAGAGTGATTCGAGCATATCCGTTCTACCTGATAACAGCCAGATAGGTATATTATTCAATAAGACTATAATATATAGCCCGGGCGTCTTCCCTGAGAAACTTTAACTCTTCAGTGTCAGTCTCCTCCAAGGTCGCAAATACCTGCTCTCGAACCTTTTTCATATGCTTGCTAGATAAACCGAAGCGTCCATCCAATAACGCAACTTGCATAAAGGCTGGTAACCATCCACACATATCCCAATCGATGAGGGTGACTTCCCAATCCTTGATCTCCCCTCCGGCTCCCTTGATTGGTCGAATGATAATATTCTCAAACTTGGGGTCTATATGGGTAAGTACAGGCTTATAACTTTTAGTTCTATCTAAGATAGATTTAAGCCGCGACAAGAATTTTACGTATATAGGACCATAATCTTCGCAATTCATATATGCAAAGCGCAGCTCAGCATTTGCACACATGGCCGAAACGAAATCTTCATAGGTCTGGTAGGGGCCCAACATCTCCTTGCCGGTAGTTTTCAGAAATGGAAACCAGGGGCTCCAGCCTTGGTGGTTCACCCGGCCATAGTATCCTTCGACAGGGGGGACGGACCGCAGTAGGCGGAATTGCTCTGAAAGTTTGTAGCAAATGAGCTTCTGGTCCTCGTCGTCCAGAGCGAGCCATTTGTCATGGTTCAACGTCTCGCCCTCGACAAACTCCGAGACCATGTAGTATATGTCGCAAGAATCTTTTTGGACGGTGAAAGCGGCATACAGCTTGGCCGTCCGGACTTGGGAATGTTCCTGTAAAAATAGCATATTCTCCGCTTCCTACCCATTATTAGTAATCCCATTAGCAATTGAATGTGATCATAGATTCTGACCTGTAAGATACATCTCTCTGGGGCCCATTTAACGACGCATTTACCAACTCTGCATACTGGAAATAAACCAGCAGATTGAGTCAGTTTATTGTCTTGCATTGCTTTTTCGATCTCATCCATGGAAGGGATACCGGGATGCTCGGGGGCTTCGTACGGAAGTTTCAAGGTGACCCACTGGTCAAGCGGTGGTGGTGGCATAAAATATACCGTATCTCGGAGAGCGCAGGCTTCCAGGAAGGTCGAAACACCCCAGTGTTCCTGGAGAACTTCGGCTTTGGTGCGCATTCTGCAAATGTAATTTGAAAAAGTAAGTACAAGATAATCTTCGAAAATATTTGGGAAATATAGAATTGCACCTGCGTATGGGAGAGCTCTTAAGAACCTCCCATACCCCCTTTATGCTAATACAATAAAGCCTAGAACACCTACTTCTCTTTGTGTCTCCGTTACTACGGACCAACTATCATTGGTTCATCTTGTTAGATTTCCATTGAGATTCGTTTTCAACGTGCCCTTTGTACCCCATTAAAGGGGCCTTGGAGCTCTGTTTCTTTGTGATATTGTTAAAATGGATAAATTTGGGCCACATTCGTAGGGACAAAGCTTCTTGTGCTGCAGTGTCGCTAGAAGTTAGCTTTGGTCGAAATCCACTCTCTTTTGAGAAAGGTTCTTAATACTCTAATTAACGTATCTCCCTTAGCGGCGGAAAGCCCAATATGCCGGAATATGCCGGAATGAATCTATTGTTATGTAGGGATCTCAACTCTCTTCCTCGAAATTCTATCAAGTTCTAATTTATTTTCTCAATGTCTGTTAAAGCTAGTTACCACCCAAAAGGATGGCGAAGGCTATACTGTTCTAATTACTGCAAATCACCGTCCTCATATGTCGCACTGCATCGTTTAACTAGATTCAAGTATAGCGATCTCCTAGATATATATATGGATGGCCATCTGCTGTATATTCTTGGCAGCTAGACGCGTTCATTATTGCTTCGTAGATACAAACCGGCCCCCAAATTGGTCGCTATTTCTTACCAAATGCGGGAAGCGCCTCCACAGATTTACATAAATAGTTGCATCGCGCTCTCATCCCGCTTCAGCTACAGCGTACAATCTCAAACCCGACTCTCAGCTTTGCACCCTCCATATCGCCTACAGAACGAAGTCTTCAAACTTTCTAGTCTTCTTACCCCATCGAGAGTCCGGACGAAAATAGGAAGAGCAATGTCAGTAGCAGCAGCCGCACCGCCACCACCTCCGGGCACGCTCAACAACGCGCCCACCATGAACCTAGGGATGGAGAAAGCCATTCAGAAATTCAAATCTATTCTGCCCCTCGTCATCGCCGTTTCGATCTTCGGTGCCAGCGTCTGGGCATCCATGGTCTCGCAAATCGGAACGCCAAGCCGCTGGTCGGAATCTGCGGTTCGCGTCTTTATGGGCATTTCGTGGCTACTCTTCACATGCGCGATGATGATCGCTGTGTTTTCTTCCATATTCTTAACTGAAGAAACTATCAATAAGAAGAAGAATCCCATCTTTCTTGGAGGGCTGGTTGCGTGGATGCTGGTTTTGACAATTGTGGGTTTCGTGTTTATGGGGTTGGTCACTGTCGCGTATGCGGGGGCTGTGGGATGGGTCGCTATTGTTGTTATAGTGGGTTTTGGGGGACTCTTTGCTGCTGTAGCACTGGATGAGAAACGTACATCCCTTTGACGTAAACTTTATTGTTGCTCCCTGCGCTCAGCGTTGCTGCATGCGCTCAGCCTCGCTGAGTCAAAGGCTTTACTCTTCAACAACCGATTTCCAAATTCCAGCTGCCATACTCTTTTCTCACGCTGACACGACTAAAACATACTCTCGATTTATCATTTTCAGTTTCATTATGACGAACCAATACGAATACCAACCGCTATGTCGTTCTACAAACGAGATCCGGCTTCTAAAAATTCTTCCAAACAATGACAGCGACAAGCTCAAGAAGATCCCAGCTCGCCGAAATTAACATGCCAACCTTCATAAAGACCTGGAGTTCGTAGAATTGTGGAGGAATACCAACGATGCACGCATGATACTCCTTGAAGACAACCCTGTTCGGGTAACCCGAAATCTGTACGACGCGATCATGGCACTTAGGCCCCTTAAAGAGCCCCTCGTCATTTGGATTGACTCTCTCTCTCCATCAACGAATCTGATAATAAAGAAAAGAGCTGGCAAGTTGGGCTCATGGCAAACATCTACCAACACGCGAACAAGGTCGTTGCTTGGTTTGGAAAAGCAGATTCAAGTAATTAGATTCCGTTATGGATTACTTCAATTCTTTTGGAGAGAACGTAGAAGCTTGCCGTATGGTCCACGGTCCACAGATATAATCTAGATGTCAGGGAGGAGCTTGTGTTTAAACCTTCGGCAGTCAGTGATCTGAGCCAGCCAAGGGCCCGTCACTAGGAGGGGATAGACTTGGTAAGAGAGATAGCGGGTGTTTCAGTAGTGCAAAAGTAATGCTTCTGCTTTCCTGACATAGCCCCTTGCTCTTCCGCGTGTTCATTCTACAGTGCCCAACCAAAGGAACAGAATACATCCTCAAAAAGGTAGTAGAACCAGCAAAAAGTAATGAATTGGTCAGTACGAGGATCGAACTCGCGACCTTGACGTTACAGCATAAGCTATTAGCATCACGCTCTACCGACTAAGCTAACCGACCTGTATTTGATTAAATGGTCGGAAAACTGAATCGTTCTTGTACTGCAATGAAGAGAGATACTTGGTGCCAAAGGATCGAGGCAGTTGTGGGGTTAATAGACTTGCAAATTTTTTAGTTCTCATTTCGCCTAACAAGATAGTCTGAGCGCAAAGCACGCTAAAGTTCGCTACTGTGTAGGTGAATTGGGACACACGTGATATCGTATTATTTAGCGTCTTGGCCCTATCATCGGTCAGCCGACATCTCACTCCGCCACCTTCTCCGATTCAGCCCTACTTGCTGAATGGCAAATATTGAGAATGAGTGTTGAACACTTCATTACCTCTTCGCGTTTGTTTGATGAATCACTTCACTGGAAGGCTCTTTTATTCTTTGTGCCGACCGCTGCCTCCTGAGTGTACATGATTCATGGATGACCTACTGCCTTCGTACGAAAGCGCTATCGCGCAGAATCCATGGGAGCTGATTGCGCCCTATCTCCACTCGAATGACCTCTGTTCTGCAGCATTGGTGTGCCAGAAATGGCATAGAACATTTACACTGCAGCTATGGGGCAATCCTGCATCTCATTTCGGAGTGCAAAATGACACTGTATATGGTATCTGAAGGTGTCCTTTGGCTAGAGATCGATGATTAATGTTTGATAGTCGCTTTAACTCGATTCAAACGCACATTGTACTGGTCGCGCCTTTCTGTTCGAGAGTTGACGCACACCCTTCATCTCCCTCCTGCCCACGCAGAGATATATGGGGGACCACACTCTGAATGGCTTCGCGACTGTCTCGAGCGCCTTCCGCGTCTTCAATCTTTAATCGTAAACGGGCTTCCCTTTTTTGACCACGCGTCGCTATTAACGTTGCGCCATGCGAGCCAATGGTGGCGGTCGACTCGGCCAAACGCCTTTCCTGTCTTCAGTTTGCGCCTACTAGATGCTTCAGGCTGCACGAATGCTACGTCTACAGGGCTTTTGGAGGCACTGTCTCACGTTCCAGATTTAGTCTCATTGGATTTATCGAGGACGCCAGCGGCCAAAGATGACGAGGTGTTTAGAAAGTTGAAGTTCCTACCTAGTCTTCGTGTCCTAAAGTTGAAAGGTTTAGGTCTTAAAGACGCAGACCTCTCCATCATCGCCTCTTCCGTTGGAACTCGTCTGAGAAGTCTCGACATCAGCCAAAACTATCTCACCGATACCAGCGCGCGCCTTCTTCTTGAGCACTGCCTAAAGGAGACTAGCTATGAGATGTATGCTACTCGGGCACCTCTCGCGCCAATCGAGCATACTCGACCTCTGGGAGAAATCGACATATTCGGGACTGAGGATCTAGATAGCCATCTTCGCAAGAAGTTAACCCAAGGATTTGTCGGGAGTCTCGCAATAGAAGATGCGAGAGATGTAGGTATAACGCACCTATACCTTTCACAGAATGCTATGACAGTGGAAGGTATTTCAGGGCTGTTGAGGTCAAAACGACTACAAGTTCTGGACGTCGGGACGCTTCCCATCACCTTACAAAAGTCGGCCCATCCCTCTTACGAGGACGCTCCAGAGGACATGGCAATACCTGGCGTAGAGAAGCTCACGCCTATATTGGCTGAGTATGCGTCGAAAAGGTTGGTTTATTTGCGGATAAACTATGCGATTGTCACAAACGACGCGCCGTATGATACCGCTCCCTCCCCTAGAGCGGAATTAGATGGCGACCTTGCATTGTACACTCCATCCGATGCCCATGAACTTGAGGCTGTCGAACCACCTCTACCAGAGCTTCCATCTACCGATAATGCAGTTTATGAGCTACCCGGAGATACAATACAGCCTACGGAGCTTCCAGCCCCTTCCCATGCGACTGAAATAGCACGAAGATCCGATACAGTCGGCATCTCGAAGCAAACTGTAGGGAAATCACCCCCTGACAAAGTCTTGCCAACCCCGAAGATAGAGATAACCTCTGAACCGCGAGAGATCAAACGAGGCCCAGCATACGCTCCCGAAGTAGTACCTGAAGCACCACTTCTTTCCCCTATTAGTCCCATACTAGACGCAAGTGGGGGACTCTCAACACTCTCACCAACTATGAGCGGGTTTGAAAGCGGGACTAGAAGCCCATCCGCAAACAACGATGCAGGAAATGCCATCACAAGATCTCGACATAACTCAACATATTATACCGAAGACCTTAGAGCACGCCTGGACTTGCGACAGTCGCAAGAAAACCGACTTCACCCTGACATGCTTCCCAAAGTGCACACTCTGGTCCTCACCGATATACCAACGAAAACGGAAGACTGGGAACTGATTGACCGTCTAATCCAATTTATTAAGGACTGTGCCGAGGAGGTGGAAATAGCACGGCTCCGAGCAAAGCACACGTATATGTTACCGCCTGGGCGGTGTCGCCCAGTTGCAGAACGAGAGTATGTGTGGAGCATCTTTGCATTGCGTCGCATTGTATTTGAAATGGCACCTTTGCATGCAACCACCAAGAAGATATCCACCAGCTGGCGTCAATATCCAACCAAGTCATCCACAGAGGATACCGACACAGAAACTTTCTGGGAAGCAGCAGCCCACGACTTCTCTTTCTTCGGTGATGAGGAATGTGGGCTGCCAAATGATGAGCCCGGTCGTCATCTACCGCTCGCGGCGATGAGCGGACTGATGCTGGATTCAGGGAGATCTGCGCCCCGACCTAAATCTGCTGGGCCCGAGACCGGCGATGTCAGGCGCGTTTTTGATGTGGTCTCTGAGATTGGGAAATTTCGGAAAGAGAGGAAGGCTGCGTATGAGGCTGTGGAAGGCCTTGGGGAAATAGACACATTTGTAGAGGGATATTGGCCGGGAAATATCACGGTTGTCAGGAAGCCGGTCGATGAAGATGCGGGGACTCTGGATTTCTATGGGAATCGGTTTGAGGGGTGGTTATATCGATGAAAACTGTGGTCTTCGCAATCGACGATTACCCCAATGGAGTTCCATCTCGAGGCTGACATAGATTGAACAATGTACCTTGATAGGATTGACATTAAGAACATTTAAAAGTTGAGAGGCTACGTAGGTATCTGTGAAATCAACGTGAATGTCTATGCATCTTTTCTTGATTACACCACGCTGTAAGACAGATTTCGGGACAGAAGATGACACATTAACGAACTCTCTCATCCTGCTTCTAGAATTCTTGGACTGGTAGAGTTTAATATTATCCACGGCCTCTCGAGGTCAGGCTGGCAGCTGCCAACCGTCCTGCATGTGCGTCCCAACCAATAAAACGCCTCTCCAGCTATCATGATGACCGGTGAGCAAGACCCCACCTCGAGCTGCAGCTCCCGCCAGCTCGCCCTAGGCTCACATCCCGCACCACACCTAACAACACTGGGCTTTTGCCCTGCGGTGCCCGCAAGGTTCGGGTAGAATGTCGTGTCAGCTCTGCCGTCATTTATATATTCCCAAGGTTGCCACCTCGAGCCGCATCGGTCGATTTTGCCTCCATATTTAGGGAGAGGACGCGGGCGAACAGCCTTGTGCTCTTTTTATTCTATTCTCGCGAGTTTTTTAGGTTCCTCTTTTGTTATCCAGTGCAACGCATCGTCTGATTTGTGATCGTTCACGGAGTCTATATTCGATATGGGCCAGTCGTTGACGAGCCTGCTGGATCCGGGTGTTGAGAGTTGGAGCCCGAGCCAGGACAGAGCTACGCACCGCCACCGCGAGAGGACACAGTCTAGGCACTCCACGAATCGCAGTAAAGTCCCCACAGCTAAACATGGCTATGTTGGAGCTCACTTGAGATCTACACCTCGCCCCCGGACTTCTGCACATCAGACCGAAAGATCACGAAGACATCGAGATAAGAGGTCAACCCCCCTGACAGAAGTCGATGTTAATGCTCGCCGCCCTAGGCAGGCTACTGCTTCAGCCTGGGATATTGACCAGAGGGGGAGAGATATTGATGGCCAGCCGAGGAAAACTAAACCTCGCGATGGAAAGCACAATCGCCCCCATCGAAACCGAGATAGCAAGGCTGAATCCCAACATAAAGACAGGACTAGCGAGAGTGGAAAGCGTCGATCACATACACACTCACATCCAGACTCGCAAGTCAAACACCGTCGTGAATCGAAGAGCCAATCTGAGGCCCATGTCGAAGTAACCGAGATAAAGAAGCCGAGAGAAAAGAAAGACTGCATGGTCTGCGCAGAGTCTCTTTCCGTGCATCGATTCCCTCAACGGCCGCCAACGGCGCAGTGCGAGCATGGGATAAACACATGTCGGCATTGTCTAAGGGGCTGGATAAGATCGGAGTTCAAGTCTAAGGTGTGGGATCAGCTCGACTGTCCTGAATGCAGGGCCCGCATGGAGTATGATGATGTTAAACAATTTGCGCCGCCGGAGGTGTTTCGTCAGTATGTACCCCAACTCATGAGCCTTGGGTCGAGAGGTCTTGTTGACGTCTTGACAAGGTATGATCGACTCAGCACACGAGCGGCACTAGAAGCTATTCCTGGTTTCCGATGGTGCATCGCGAAGGGCTGTAAATCGGGACAAGTCCATGACGGGTGGAATTCGACGCCGAGGTTTCGTTGTGTGGCTTGCAAGGCAAGCCATTGTGTTGCGCATCAGATACCATGGCATCGGAAGGAAACTTGTGCGCAGTATGACTACAGGACGGACAGTAAGATCAAGAAGGCAGAAGATAGTGCTAGTAGGAAGCTGATCAAGGAATTGGCGAAGAAGTGTCCGGGGTGCAAGTGGAATATCGAGAAGAATAATGGGTGTGATCATATGACATGTAAGAGGACTTTACTTTCTCGGACCATCTTGTGTCTTCAAAAAGGCATTAGCTCACTGGTTTGTGTCTAGGTTCGAAGTGCAGACATGAGTTCTGTTGGTTGTGTCTAGCGCCGTGGGGTCCTATTCGGAATCAGGGCAGCCAGATGCACCACCCGAGTTGTAGCCTGTATAGCGATGGGGCGGATGGAGTCAACATTTGGGATGATTTTTA